GGTATCAGAGCAGATCTGGAAACCCTAGCCGAAATTACCGAAGCTATGACAGGACATGTTGATGCATCTTCATCAAAGACGCCCATTGATATCACGTCTCCGTTCTTCCTCACCCCAGCTGATCATCCTGACTAGAATTTCGTTGGAGAAAACTTACTCCATGACGATAACTACAGTGACTGATAAAACGAGATGACATATGCCTTGTTTTCCAAAAGCAAGTTTGGTTTTGTTGATGGCACATTGCCGACACCAAAAGAAGATTATGATGATCTGCTGAATTGGAGGAGATACAATCCAATGGTATGAGGATGGATTGTGAGTTCTAATGGGGCTGAACGACGAGTATAATGTTGTCAAGACACAAATCCTGAGTTCTACTCCTTTACAAGCTCTTGGTATTGCGTACCATCTCGTCAGGGAAGATGAACTACAAAGAATTTTTGGGATGAATCGACATTCCGGTGGTGATGCAACAGCGTTCCAAACTTTTAGAAAAACTGGTCCTAAACCCCAAAGAAAAGAGATCTCGCAAAACTCAACCAAGAAAAGGAATGAAGATCAATGGTGCATGAATTGCCAGAAATATGATCACGCCATGGATGGTTGCTTTGAAATTATTGGCTACCCAGAGTGGTGGAACCCAAAACAGATGAAACCTCAAAGAAACAAGCAAAAGACGCAATCAAAGGCTGCCAATACAATTGTTGATAATGACACTGCATCGGGGATATCAAAGGATGAGTGTGAAGTCCTCCTCAAACTGTTACGAGCCAATCAAGTCATAGAAAAAAACAAAAGGGCTGCTCCCGGCCACCGCCAACATGACAGGTAAAATCACCAAAACTAATAATTCTTGGATTATATATTATAGGGCTAGTGATTATGTTACACACCGCTAAAATTGGTTAGAACATGTTAAAACTAAAGGTGACTAACGTCTGTGACTATCCCCAATGGTGAGGTAATGGAAGTTAAAGGGATTGAGGATATACACTTGTCTAAAGATTTTAGTCTTAAGGACGTTTTAAGTGTGCCAGAGTTTAAATGCAATTTGTTTTCGGTTAGTAAGATTACACGAGATCTGAATTGCTCCTTAACTTTCCTTCCGATTTTTTTTTGTACAGGACTTACCTTCGAAGAACCTGATTGGGATGGGTAGAGAAATGGATGGTCTGTATTACCCTGAACCATTCAAACAAAACAAAGTGGTCATGGTAGTATGGACTAAAAGTGAAATATGACATAAGAGATTAGGACATGCATCTGATGGAGTCCTTAAGAATATCTCCATCCTTAAGAAGATCTAACATTTAGATAATATAAACACAAATAGTCATTTTTGTTATTCATGTATTCGTGCAGAACATAGTAGATTACCATTTCCCATAAGTTTTGCTAAAACTTCTAGTTGTTTGTCTTAATTCACATTGACATTTGGGGTCGTTAGTGTAACGTTGTGATTTTTATCAATTTTTTTTCCTTTATCTAAAAACACTTTTTAATAGAATACGTTAGCGGAAGACTTAGTAATTTAGTTTAAAACATTTTTGAAATAACAACGTTACCTCCAAAATCAAAATCATAATTCCAAATCATTTAAAAGTAAATGTTTAAATTGATAAAACATTAAATGTATCGAAAATGATATTATCTAAATAGAATAACTACTCTATAGGCAACCCCTCTCACCAAGGTGGAACTTGTAACATCCCAAAAATCATAGATAAAAATTTCGTTTTTAATTCAACCCAAACCAAAAAATATTCATGTCAAGACATCCAAAAGTATGTAATAGTAAAATAGTCATCAGAGTACAATCTCCAAAATCATAAAAGTACAGAAAACAGAAAACATGGGCGGATGCAATGCGATCATGTCGGACCCTTCCTTTTCCAACTGGAAGTACCTGAAAACATAAACATAAAGCTATAAGCACAAAGCTTAGTGAGTATCCCCGAAATACCCCATACCATATTGTCATACCCCCAAACCGAGTAAAAACGATGGAAACGTCTGGTGGTATGATGACTTCATGTACAATATCATAACAATTGAATAATAGAGATCAAAGCATTACAAACATTGTATTGATAATTTAATATTTACATCGAGTTCGAATCATTGTTTGTTTGACTTGTTGGAACCTGAAAGTGAACCTCTAGCAATCACAATCACCTTTGAAGATCCGAAGTCAGTCAGTGTTCTGAGATGAATAAGTTGGTGTCCGGACTTGAAGCCTTGCCCCAGAAGTGAAGATATCCGGAAGAGAAGATTGATGCTTATGTTCCGACCCATATGAAGGCATTCCGGAATGAATGTTATGTCCGGAATGAATGTTATGTCCGGAATGTTAACTTGTCTGAATCAATATTTTGTCCATGTGCATTTATTATATTTGTATTTTAGCTTGATTTAACTTGTCATAGGACTTAGTCTCTTTTGTCAAACACGGATATTCAGAGTGTCAGATGTAACTCTTTTATCCAGTCCTATGTATGTAATCAGTCAGTACCATGTATCTTGTTCTCCTATTTATAGGAGCTTTCAATGTTAAATCAAGATGGATCATTCCAACATATCTAGCAATATTCCAGTTTACTTCACTTTCTCTCTAAAAACATTCTTCTTGTTCTTCATTTATTGTATTTACCTTGATCATCTTCCTCACTCTTCATTAATATCTTGAATACTTTGTTGATTGCATTAACTCAGACTTAATTGGTCTTGCCAGACTTGACTGGTACATTCATTAGTAAGCAGACATTGATCTTAAGTATTCATTCAAGGTTTGAGTTTTCAAACCTTTTCCATGCGTATCAGATCGTTCTTGTTCTCACAATTGGTATCAGAGCTTGAGTGGTTGTCCTTTGAATCCATAAGATCAGATTATAGTTGGTTTGAAATTACCTTGGTATTTCAACCATTTCTGTGTTCAGGATAAAAGTTCTTCTATATACCACTTTTGCTTAAAGATATCTTAATTTCAATGGCTGCTTCTAATCCTCAACAAATGTATTCAATGCAAATAGAAAATAGCGTGGGTTGCCCTACTCGTGCCCCACTGCTAGTTGTTGAAGAATATGATCATTGGAAAGTCAGAATGGAAAGATTTTTACTGGATAAAGAGAAAGGTGAAGCTATCTGGAGATCCGTCAAAGAAGGTCCTCATGTTCTAGTTAGAACAACAGTTAGAGATGCTGCTGCTCAACTCATGGGTCAAAATGAACAACGCCCAACTCCTCTCACTGCTGACGACATTGAGAAGCTACATGCTGATCAAGTGGCATTCTATGAAATGGTGTTTGGTGTTCCACCATCTCTCTGTGAACACATCAAGATGTGTAAATCTGCCAAAGAGATTTGGGACATTCTTCAAGACTTGATCGAAGGTTCTAAAAATATGAAAGACAAGCGCCTGTCATCTGTTGTAAACGAGTTTTACACCTTTACAACAACTCCTGGTGAATCAGTTGCCTCAGCCTCCAACCGATACCGAATTGTAGTCAACAATATGACTGCTCATGGGATTGTCCGAACTCCTTTGGAGTACAATCTCAAGTTCATAAATAGTCTTGGTAAATGATGGGGAAACGTGAAGTCTTGTCTTCAAAGCAATGGATCGCTGAAGAAGTTGAAGCTTTATCAACTATTTTATGAACTGCAAGGTCATGAATCAAATGTTGCTCAGACACTAAGAGAATTCTCCGGAGGTCCCCTTGCTCTTGTCAGTTATTTTGAATCATCTGTTCCTAACCCATCTATCTCGGACCCTTTTAAACCCGTTGTTCCACCTGTTCAACCCTCCTTACCTGTTCTACCCACTCAAAGCTATTCTACTGATGGTGCTCTCGATTCCGAAGCCATGGACTCCAAACTACATTTTCAGCAGGAGTTCACACTACTCTCCATGAAATACAAACGTCCATTTAATCCCTCTCATAAACCTTAGCACAATCGATTTCACGCTCCTCATCAAAACAGTCCTTAATCATACTCAGCTCCGCAACAACAAACCACTTCGGAAAACCCACCAGCCTACAAACCAAACATCTTTAAGCCCAATTCCACTCCGAAACTTCAGCAGACTCCGAAAACAAATAAATCCAAAATTATGTGTCATACGTGTGGACATGCAAATAATTTCGCAAAAGATTGTCTGGTTGACATTCCGCAAAAACCAAAAATCAAGGATTCTGCTTACTATGCCAGAAAAGCAAAAGAATTAGCTGAAAGTGAAAAGGCATTTGTCACAACCGTGTCTAGAGATGTGGAAGGATATTGGTCATCTGGAGATGATGATGATATGATTACTGGAAGAAACATGTGTTTGATGGCGAGACAAACCATTGAGTGTGATAAAGGATATTGGTCCTCAGGGTCAGAAGATGAAGATGAAGAAAAAGCTGCTGAACCAAACTACTGCTACATGGCCACCAACGATCCACCAGGTCGAAGCATCGTTCAACAGGTAGCATCTATGATTACTGATAATAATTTTGATATGACTCTTTGTGAATCTTATCTGATCCAGATCCAAACAGATATGAACACCATCTTTAGAGCCTATGAGTGTCACACCCCCAAACCAGAACGGTGGAAACGTTCGGGGGCGGAGGACGTCATGTACAGTATCATAACAATTGAATAGTAAAGAAAGTACACA